AAACTATGGCACCTGACACCTCTAGTAGTCCACACTTTAATCAGAGCTGGCAGAAATTAATTCAAGAGAAATTTGTACACGGGCTCCTCTGTTGTATCCTGCTTTTATGGTTGACTCCAAGAAACCTATGAGACTAAATCGACATCCAAGAGCTAGGGAGTTAGTTTTATACGACATTTTTATTAAGTTAAGGTATATTTTGCTTAGGTGAAAAATGGATCATTTTGACTGTTGTATCTACGGAAACACTTCAATGTTTGAGGAACCTAGGGGGATCAAACATTTAATTGACCAAGTTATCCTTTAAATTTAATTTGGTTCTCCATTATTTATAATGCCGTCCCAGAGTTACTATTTGCTCATTCAAGTTACAAATCCTGAACCCAACAGAGATTTCATTCAATACATCAAACACTTAATGGGAGCTTCTAAAGGTCAAGCCTTATACTAGACCCTGGGGTTTTAGGAAAAAAAAAGTTTTCATAATACATGTCTAAGTAGCATTTATATGCATAATCATAAAAATAATTCTAATATAATAATTGATAAGTATAGTAATGGCTATATCTGCGTAGTGAGATAATAGATAATTTTTACTTCCTATTTTCTATTTTTTCTGATTTTCCTAAATCTTTTTAACAATGAACTTGTGTTGCTCTTATAACTATTAAAGAAACAAAAACTAAGGCTCCTCCTATGGCAGTGATGGAAAGGAAAATAAAGACAGCTTAATTATATATATTTTTATGCTGAAGAACTTAATTTATTACCTTAATAAAAAATTAAGTTTTCCTCTTAAGAAAGTAAGTCCCAATTATTATAGTTATCAAAAGCAATTTTGAGAATCTGAGATCCTATCTGACAGATAAAGAATTATGATCCGGCCAATGAAATCAAGCAGTCAAAATCTATTTGTCTCAGGTAAGTATTCACTAGGCCATAAAGAGAGTTCTTGGCCTTAAAAATACCATTCCTAATGTTAGATAATTTAGTCAATCCAAAACTCACTGGGGAATAATGAATGGCACTTGAGAACCAGAAGTAAAAAGTTTTTATTCAAAGAAGTAGAGAAAATGAGTCCTTGGGACAGATGCAGTTCTTTTTGTTTGTTTGTTTAGCTTTGGTTTGGTTTGGCAGATAAAAGTGAAAAATGAGTTTCTAAAAAGTGCTTTGGATACTTAAGCTTATGTTAGAAGTCTCACTAAATATAATATACTCAAAGAAATAAACCGAAAACCACAAAACAAATATTTATAACCAAATGTCTAACCGCAGTACTACCAATGAAATTCCTCTTTAATGAGTCCAGATTAGTAGTCACAAACTCAACAGACAGTGTGAATCACTTACTCCTAAGCCTCTTTTAAGATTACACTTTTCAGGAAGATTTGTATTAGTACTCACAAATTTCAATCAATCATAATCAACTGTTTCAAAATTCCCTGCAATCTCTTCTTCAGTTAACCAGCTCCAGATTTCTTTAAAACTAATTTCCTCTTCTCTTAGGTTCATAATAAAAATGCAACCTTGATTTTGGAGGAGAAGCAAAGGGGAAGATAGAGTCTAGAAGTTAAGAAAACTTCATGCTGGCTTTTTTTTTTTTTTAACCTCCAACCTATCGTCCCTTATTTTAGTTTCCCTTTACTTACACTTTCCATCTGTCAACAAGTGCTTGTAATTTTATTACACTGTCCTGTAGTTTATGCAGAGTTGGTATTATTTTACAGAGTTCTGTTAATGGACTGGATAAATGGTAATGCTATTTAAACTAGTCTCCTACTCCAACAAACACAGCTGCAACTGTACTACTATTTCTGAGCAAACATCTTGACCTGAACATGTAGTGCTCTCTCAACCCGTCCAAAGAGAAATTGGAGCAGACAGCAAAGGAAAAGCATATTTGGCCGCTAGCAGCAACCAAGCGTGTCGAATCATAATTCATATACAGTATACCCTCCTTTTCTTTTATATTGCACTTAGAGTCTGTGAAAAGCATGTGTGCTTCTTCCCCTGGTATCTTATTTTCAGCCACTAGTCAAATGGTGATTATTTATTCCAAAACTCAAAGAAAAGCAACACAAGGTCCAGTATATCCAACAAGCTTTAATCTAAGCCAACAATGTGAAAAATCAAACTTCTGTGTATAAACTATATATTAAACCAGTAGACTTTTAAATTAGTGATATACCTGGGAAAACATAGTGTTAAGTATGAATAAAGTATACAATGACTAAGAAAATAAAGAAATTGAAATATTAATTCGTATCTCGGAACAACCTATACAGAGGAAGTAAATCCTAAATTTTTTTATGAGTTCTGCATATAGTATGCCTCTACTGCATTAAACAGTAGGGGCAACTATGGTTTGCTTTATATATATAAATTATATAAATGTATATTATATATAAATATAAATTTTATATTATATATTATATAAATTGTATATTACATATATTATATGTTATGTTTAATTATATATATTATACAAATGTCAAAATATATATTCTATAAACATATATTTATATCATATATACTTATATATATTTATATATATTTATAAAACAATCATATATATATCAACTATCAAATACTTTCCTTGTCCTATCATTTTTCCCCATTATTTGTCAAAAATTCCATATCCTTTGTTCTGTTACTTGTCCTTCTTGTGTAAAAACTATGTTTTTAAATGAGCATTATAAAGGATGTTGTGCATATAGGTTTGTGCACATTTTCCCATCTGCTGGAATATTTGTTTCAAGTGAGCTACTAGGCATCTGTATCATATGAAGAAAATGTGAACTTGTACCCTTGCTTTTCATAATTACACTAGCCAGTAGTCAGCTTCACAAGTGTGTGTTCCTTTGTTTATTAAAGACTTCCAATGGCAGTTGTTTAATTTAATTAATAATCACCATCATAAACAACTGGTCACGTGCAGCTTACAACTTACCTTCTCGAGAGAAAAAGCACTCTTAACAATCCACCTAAGTCTAATTCAGATGAGGCAACAGTGCTTAACTCACATTAAGATTCCTGACTTGAGGATGCAAATAAAAATTCCACCTCTAGTTTTCTATGTATACCCAGTGCCTAAATCTGATGTCAAATCTCATGTAAAGAGATACACTTCGTCAATATTGAATGCTAGGCCATCAAGTTATATAACTTCTGAAACATAAAAATATTCACATCTTGTAACCAGTTCCACCTAACAAACATTGCTTTAGCTGTTATTACTCCCCAGGACAAATCCTTTGAGCCAGAAAGACATATTAAAAAATCTGAAGACATTTTCTAGCTGCCTGTGTCCCCATTTTCCAACATGCATTTAATTAATTAGGAAATGCTGTCATAGGTTTATGGATTCTGTTTCTTTAATTCACTTAAAGATTTCAAGTCTTTTTTCACATAGCTGCTGCATAAAGTTATAAAATCATAACAAAAGATAAAAAAAACTCTTGGTCTGCTATGTAATGTTGTCAAAGAGGGCAAAATGTCAAGTAGAATATAATTTGCTGATGAGGGATTCTGCAATGGATTAAACCACCTTAAACTGGGGAAATTAATCCAAGTCGATTCCTTAAAAAATCTCCTCAGTCAACAATAACTAAAGCTGAAAGTGAAATACTATCAAAACCAATTCTATGACCTTTTTTAGAAACTAAGCACAAATATTTAGATATAATTATCTACTGATATGCATACATATAATCTTTATGGCAAACCTACATCCTATTTCCTTAGTAAAAACAGTTCTTAGATAATTTTTGTTAAAAATGCAATTCCAAAGTTTCTTTATTTGATTTTTAAAATTTACTTAAATTGGGCCAATTGAGCAGCAGGGAACACAAAAAAAGGAGAGAAAAATGTCAGGTGACTTTAACTATCCTTAGAGGAACAAAGTCAGGAAAGACTCTGGAGAGAAGATCTGGTCTGTCAGCTGGGGAATACCTCCCTATAGTAAGTTAAGGTTGTTAAGGTTTCAGGAGGACATTAACAAAGATCCTGGCTATTCTTGGGGGTGAAGGGAGTGAGAGGACAGTCCTCCTACTTCTGGAATTGATAACTATATTGAACTAGTAGGCTACAAAGACAAATTCAGAAAAAGGAAATATGCTCACTTTCTCTACAAATAGTACCATATGGGACTCCCACCATCCAGATGGGGGCTAATGGAGCAATTTACTCTATACATCCCAGCAGTTTTTTCACAACATGCATGTACCTCAATAATCATTGCTATTTATTTTTCCAAAACTTTGTAGCTTATCTCCCATCTGCACAAAGTCATTCATATGGCTGAAAATCTCATTTTTAAATGCTTTCAAAAATGTGTTTTCACTATTACACATTAGGTCAGTGCAAAAGCATTCCAGGGAGGAAAAAGTGATTCCCCCTAATACTCACATTATGCTCCTTTAAGGAATTACTTCCTTTAATAGTCTATGACGTATTTAATATGAAAACCTTGCCATACAGTCATTCATATTGCAGAGGCTGAAATTCTGGCTTTAAAGGAAACATTTAAGAGGAAATTTACAGCCCTCTTTAAATACCTTATAATAATATTTTCGGACTAATAAACACTACTACTTGAGCCCAGAAACAATATCAAAAAAGCTAACATTAAAAATCTCGACTTTACAAGAACACACTGCCAGCTTCCTCTTAAGAGGAAGCACAGTAGCAATTTTCTCCCTTCAGAACTTAATCAAACATTTCCATTAAAAAGTAGGTAAATCTTGCCAACATCACATTACCAAAAATAACAATAATAATCCAATTACCGTATCACATACATCAACCACTAAATCCTAACCAAATAAAGCAACCACTAGAAAACAAATCATAAATTTCCTAAAGAAAAAAAACACAAACTTTTAATCCATTAATCTATTGATGCATAGATTCCAGGAAAGCACACAGAAACAGATCCAAAATACATTTAATAAAACACAAGGTACTACCCAAAGCAACAATAACTATTTGTGTCTACTTACAGCCTGTATAGCTTCGCAGTCCCAAGAAACAGCAACTCAGGAAACAGCTGAAGGTGATTTCTGTTTAAACGTCTTTAGAGAAAACAAAAACAAAGCTTATGTTACACAGAAAATACCCAACAATGAGACTGTGATTTGGTAGTGTCATGCCTCATCCTGTATTTCAGAAAAGAATGAAATGACATTCAAGAGAATTCAAGCATTGCAAATCAAAAGTTGGTTACACCTTTTGTTACATGACTTTTTAAAGCAGTTTTCCATTGTGCTTACTACGATGATGATTACTGGGGTCTAAACTCCAAACTGAAATCCTGTGCAACATCAGTCAACCAGAATATACACAACAATAAAGGATTTTTATGACTCAGTCTTAGGTGCCGAAGGTAGGTGACTTCAATATCCAGCAGAAATACCGCCATAAATGGTGTCTAAAATAATCCATACACAGTCCCAATTGGCCTAAAATCTCAGCCAAGGAATTGTGGGGAGATGGAAATTTTAATTTTGTTAGCTTTTCATTTCGTTGGGAGAAAAAAAAAAAAAAAAGGTGTGAGAAGGTGTGAGAAATTGTAGGCATGATTTGTCCCATAGGCAAAATCAGGAGAATAACCAACCCAGAGTTCAAACCTCAACCCACAGCTTCCAATCCTTAACTGAATTTAAGGCTCAGCAGTATAACTAATAGTGGCGTCAAATCTGTTTAAGTAATGTTTTAAAATGTCTAAGTAAATTGGAATGTTGTAAATGTTTTAAAGAAGAGTGTGATTCCAACTCTAACTCAATTTAAGCCCTGATGCTTGGTATGCACACCTGTTAAAGAAAGAGTGGGCAAATACTATCTCTGATGTAGTCATATCCCAATCCCATCTGTTTTAAGTGTACAATTTAACATTTAATTTAAAATAACTGTCTATTTCTCTGCTTTTCCCAAATCTAAATAAAACGATAAAGAGCTGATGTAACATTTTGCACTCAAATGACTTACAAGCTGCCTAGCTCGAGAGGGATAGAGGCATATTATATAGTATAGCTTCTGGATATAGTTCCAGAAAGTAATGCCACACTGGGGAAAGCAGAGGCATTTCTTAAGTTTTAAAGATAAATATTAAAAGGGACAGGAAAAGAGGACATATCAATCTTGACATATTGAAAGGGTCATCGGGCAGATGCAGAATTATACTTATTTAGTCTCCAGAGGGCAGAAATGGGCCCCTGGATTGTAACTCCTAAGAAATTCGATTATACAGAAGACCCTTCTAAGAACTAGCTATTAAGAAATGGAAACTCTCAACTCCTTATCTCAAAATGTATTCAAGCAGAGGCTATGAGGTTTTAGGTTTTTTTTTTTTTTTTTTGGAAAATGATATAATTTTTTAAAAATCCTGTTTGTAAGTGAGAAGCTAGACCAGGTAAACTTCAGAACTTCTTTCCATTCTAAAAAATGCCATGAAGCAATAATGGCACCATAACTTTATGTGAACTCAGAAGGAAGTCGGTCATCTACAGAAACATTCTCAGGCCCTAATAAAAAGCATACTAACAAAAAATATGCCAAGACAAGTAGGGGCAAATAGTAAAATTAGTGGTAAAAGAGTGAATTTACTTCCCGTTTACACTATTTTTTTGAATGAAGCACATAACAAGCTAAAATTTAAAGTCAAATCAAAAACTTTTATTATACAATTGCAATGAAATGCAGATTGTTACTTTGTTATATTTCCCTCTAAAAACAGATTACAAATATTTGCAACAGTGGTAATGAGATTTTTTTCTAGGAGTGCAACCACTCTTGGAAGGACCTCCATTGTCCAAAGAGCCAATTCCAATTTCTAAAATAGCAGAAATGTGCTCTCATGACGTGATCCAAACCACCAGATTTACCAGCCTCATTTGTTATTCTCTAGCCAGAACAAGCACTCTCGGCAAGCCCCTGGGTCCTGCAGAGGCAGTTCTCTTTATGAAGTGCTTCTCCTTTTCTCCAAATGGTGCTTTCTTACATCCGCTGGGAACCTTCCCCTGATTCTCCCACAAAAAGTTAGTGCTTCTCTTGGCTGTGTCCCCACAGCATTTGATAAGTAAGGGTCCCTTACACTGTGTAATATTTATTCATGTACTGGTCCCTTTCCCACTAGACTGTGAGCTCTTCAAGCATAAAGACTAAATCTTTGTATTCCCTCCCTTCTTCCCTGGCACTTAGTAAGTTTTGAACCATATGAAAAGCCAAAGAGAGCAGCCTGCTCTCAGTCAACATTTCCTAATCTCTGGCCCTTAGTAGGTTCTTAGGACATGCTGAATGAGAACAGCGTTGTGTAGTATTTTGATATATTTCAGCAAGGCCCTAGCATTTGCATTTTGTATTAAGCCAACATTCCTCTGGCATTCTCCCTGAGGCACCTGCCTTGAGTTTGGTGCCACTCTCTGGCTGTCAAACCTGCTTTCACATGTCCCAGACAGTAGTTTCCTCCTTTCCATTCCATCAGCATCCTTGGTGATGTGATTCTCAACATCACCTAGAAGCTGGAAAGGATTCAATGTGTTTAAACAAATTCAGATATATAAGTGAACAACAGCTGCTACCAGCTTTCTTGTTAATGGGTCTACATCAATATAGTTTCATATATTGTGAGAAAGCAGATTTTTCAGGTTGGATACAAGAAGTGTTATTTTTTCTTAATTATTATCCTTTTCTTATTCCCAGTGGTTCCTAATTCACTGTGTAAGTAATAGCTAACACATATTCTAATTCACGGTGTACGTAATAAGCTTACTAGGTGATGGTCACTATTCTGAGAGGTTTATACAAGTTATCTCATTCACTCTTCACCACATCCCTGTGAGTAAGTACAACTCTCACTGCTGTTCTGGAGAGAAGAGCAGAGTTCAAAGACATAAAGTTAGGGCCTGAATGAAGGTGGTGTGACACTAAAACATACCCTCTGAATCATTCTTCTGGAAAAAATACAGTCTAAACATTCCTAAACAATAATTCAGAATAATATAATGCTGAAGCTTTCCTTTTCACCTATATTCCCTGAGGCAAAACATAGATTTATTTGATCCATTTCTTAAGTATCTATGAACTAAGCAATTGTAAATAAAACAAAGTTTTATTTTTTAAAAAAGCTAGCTCTACGTTCAGCTCACAGTTTTAAACACCTGTTGAAAATTAGGTATTTTAAATTTCAGAAAAAAAATGAAAATATATATGAAGCACTCCTCTCTGAATTCAAGTAGTTTATAATTATTTCAGGAAAGTTATTATGAGTGATCTTTATATGTCTAAACCCACCAGATACATTTCTGTTTTTAGGATAAGACAAGGTGGTATCACACAAAAAGGACAGATAACAGTAAGGAATGTGGTAATATGGATACAACAAAACAGTATATGTTTCCTTTTTATTGTCTTTAAAGGAGTATGAAGACACTTTTGGCTCCACTTTTTCTATTCTCTCTTCCATCCATACTAAGGCTAAATGGTTATACAAACATTAACATAAAAAGCAAAACTTTCAGAATATTAAATAAATAAAAATTTTAAAGGACAGATGCTTCTACAACCACCAGAAATTAAATCCTTAAACTAAAGAACACTTATTTAAAATCTAAACTTATTTTAAAGACTATTAAGGTATATAACAACTACTAAACAGAGCTAGAGAAAAAGTAGCCTAGCTTTTAATGTGACAGAAATTGCTTAACAGCTTGAAGATGATCGTGTCAGAATGAGATCTCTAACATAAACGAGTTGAAGTTAAATCTGATGGTTCCAGAACAGGAAACAGCATGTAGTGAATTAAAGATAACACAGAGGATTACTTATGGGAGCCAACATAAATTAGCTTTGTTAAACAGACCAGGTGAGTCAATTATCATTGTTCAGAGCACAGACACTCAATGGTGTCAAAGAAGAGACAGAGATATAATGATATCTATGTCATGTGTCCTCACCCCTCGATGGAATCTGCCCATAAGATTCCAGAAATGCTTGATAATTCTCTAGATGGCAATTCACAGTTTCAGAAAGGTGTGTAATGTATGTCTCTGGGATACTTTCTCCCAGGGCAAAGACGAGAAGGGATTCCAGTAACTGTTTGCTCTGTGCTACCAGCTATTTTTGAGTCTGACTTTCAGAGGAGTGAATGATCTTTCTGCATCGCACAAAACACCACTGGCCTCTCAAATACTGATTCTTAACAACCTCAATTTGAAGGGCAGCCTGAACATATTGACAAACATTGTTTTGAATTATTATCTGCCAGCTGCGTCTGTGACTCTTGTCCTTTAGCAGAGGTTATAGTCTCTTACTTTTTGCAACTTTCACCTAAATTCAATTAATGTTCACAACCTTCCATCTAATTCAAAACGTAATATGAGAACAGTTTTACCAAAGCCAGTAAAATTTTGTGCTCCTTACTTACTTGTCAGTGTAAATATAAGGTGTTTTTAGCAGCGTGCTAGGTCTGTAATAAATGTTTGATAAATGTTGCCTTAAAGCCTACCATTTCTAACCTCCTATTTCTCCTACATGAATGATCAAGCGTAAAACTATTTAGCCCCCTCTTTTGCCACCTTCTCAGGTAAATTTTGACTTCTCTTATAAAAATGTTTTTATTCTAACATTTTCAAAGCACGGATCTTAAAATTTATTTTGCACTATGTAAATAAAATAAAGTTTACATTTTCAGCAGTGATTTCAATGATAACTTAATCCCTTGTATTCCTTGCTAGGGATGTCAACACTTATTAGCAAAATATTGCTTCCTCTTTTGTCCCCTTATTTCCTGGTATTTCTCTACATATTCAGAGAGACTATGAAAAATACTCTGAAATAACCATTGAAGGGTTGTTAACCTTTTCTTCACATCTCTTCTGTTGACCATATACTATGTTAGGAAGAACATTTTTTAAAAATGTAAATATGACTGTAACAAGCCAAATGGATCATATATACACTTTAGCAGCTAAGATAAAATAATTCCTAATCTCAGCGATTGAGAAATAAGAGAGGTATGTTGAAATGTAGAATAATAGTTATTTAAGTGCTCTGTGCCCAGCATTTTGTGAAGCTA